ATACTATCAATCATGGGAAGGAATTCTTATATAGATCGGGATTCCTCAGTATCATCAGCGCAAGTATCAGCGTCATGATAAATTGTGGGATGCTATCTTGTATACACACGTTCTCTGTGGGAATAGCGTCTGATCTAGGCATATGTTGAAGAAGAAGATGGAGTTTGACGGCGATGGTTTGCTTATTATATATGCTTTAAGTAGTATTTTAAGTTTGTTACAGTCTGTCGCAACACTGTGGTCATTATAGAACAAGGCGGCACTTTGTGTACAGCAGACTCGCCAGGATCGTAGATATGAACATACCATGCCCGTCAGCTTGGATACGAACATTCGCTCAACTGTGCCACTTGGACACGAACATTCGCTCAACTGTGCCATTTGGATAAGAACATTCGCTCAACTGTGCCACTTTGATACGAACATTCGCTCAACTGTGCCACTTTTATACGAACATTCGCTCAACTGTGCCACTTGGATACGAAAATTCACTCAACTATGACACTTGGATATGAACATTCGCTCAACTGTGCCACTTGGATACTAACATTCACTCATCTGTGCCACTTGGATACGAACATACGCTCAACTGTGCAACTTGGATACGAACAATCACTCATCTGTGCCACTTGGATACGAACATTCGCTCAACTGTGCCACTTGGATAAGAACATTCACTCATTTGTGCCACTTGGATACGAACATTCGCTAAACTGTGCCACTTTTATACGAATATTCGCTCAACTGTGCCACTTGGATATGAACATTCACTCAACTGTGCACCTTGGATACGAACATTCGCTCAACTGTGCCACTTGGATACGAAAATACACTCAACTGTGCCACTTGGATACGAACATTCACTCAACTGTGCCACTTTGATACGAACATTCGCTCAACTGTGCCACTTGGTTACGAACATTCACTCATCTGTGCCACTTGGATACGAACATTCGCTAAACTGTGCCACTTTTATACGAATATTCGCTCAACTGTGCCACTTGGATATGAACATTCACTCATCTGTGCACCTTGGATACGAACATTCGCTCAACTGTGCCACTTGGATACGAAAATACACTCAACTGTGCCACCTGGATACGAACATTCACTCAACTGTGCCACTTTGATACGAACATTCGCACAACTGTGCCACTTGGTTACGAACATTCACTCATCTGTGCCACTTGGATACGAACATTCGCTCAACTGTGCCACTTGGATACGAACATTCACTCATCTGTGCCACTTGGATACGAGTGAGTGAGTGAGTGAATATGGTTTTACGCCGCTTTTAGCAATATTCCAGCAATATCACGGCGGGGGACACCAGAAATGGGCTTCACACATTGTACCCATGTCGGGAATCGAACCAGGGTCTTCGGCGTGACGAGCGAACGCTTTAACCACTAGGCTACCCGACCGCCCCTCACTTGGATACGAACATTCGCACAACTGTGCCACTTGGTTACGAACATTCACTCATCTGTGCCACTTGGATACGAACATTCGCTCAACTGTGCCACTTGGATACGAACATTCGCTCATCTGTGCCACTTGGATACGAACATTCGCTCAACTGTGCCACTTGGATACGAAAATACACCCAACTGTGCTACTTTTATACAAACATTCGCTCAACTGTGCCACTTGGATACGAAAATTCACTCAACTGTGCACCTTGGATACGAACATTCGCTCAACTGTGCCACTTGGATACGAACATTCACTCATCTGTGCCACTTGGATGCGAACATTCGCTAAACTGTGCCACTTGGATACGAACATTCGCTCAACTGTGCCACTTGGATATGAACATTCACTCAACTGTGTACCTTGGATACGAACATTCGCTCAACTGTGCCACTTGGATACGAAAATACACTCAATTTTACCACTTGGATACGAACATTCACTCAACTGTGCCACTTGGATACGAACATACGCTCAACTGTGCCACTTGGATACGAACATTCACTCATCTGTGCCACTTGGATACGAACATTCGCTCAACTGTGCCTCTTGGATACGCACATTCGCTCAACTGTGCCACATGGATATGAACATTCGCTCAACTTTGTCACATGGAAACGAACAAGAACAGTTTTCCTCACACATGTCAGTGCACGTGCCCGGCAAGAGGAGGTAGAAGTGTGACTGCAGAACCTTTAGCTCTGAACAGGCACCTCAGTTTGTGTACTCAAAGGTAGCTGAGAATGAAACATGAATGTAAATTGATCCGTTGACGAAATGCTGATGTTGGATGCTATGAACATGCCTTGAGTGGAATTAGAAACCTACATTTCAAACTATTATTATGTAATAAAATAGTAAACGGCATGACTGCTAAAGAAGCCATTTATTCCAACACACATAACCCTAATAGTACGGACGCCTCAGATTTCCAGACAGATACAACAAAGGAAAACATTTTATAAACATAATAATTCATCACAGAGTACCACGCGGGGTAACGAAACTCGGCTGTTGGCGTTTTCAAATCTCCGTCCGATCTTCTGTTGAACTTTCTTATTATCTGTGTTGTGATATTTCTTTAATATACATCATTTAACGAATATAGCCCTTTGGAATAGAGCGAGAAAGTAATAAAGAATAAATGAGTCCATTCTAGACTGATAGTTTTCATAGACTCTTCTCAATGGCTGTGACTCGATATATTAATAGACGACAATCACGATGCCGGCCATGTTGAAGGGTCTATGCTACCGATTCATTTGCGGTAGTCGCTTGGAAGAAAAGCTGCCTCGAACCTCAGGTGTTCGGTGATTCATGCAGGCCGCAAGGCGATATGAAGTTCTCAATTGTCCTCTGTAGTTTTATATTGATGAGTGCGACGGAATCGGACCTAGCATCATGGTATTGTACATGTTTATGATCCTAAGATGAGGACAACGTACAGAGCCGGCCAATCTTACCGATTGATACTTATTTATATTATGATTAGAAAGAACTAGAATCATGGAGAATATCAATTATCATTCTTCTTCTTAGTATTATGATTGTTAAAACGTGATCTTTATTGTGGTCCTAAATAATATTAATATTAATAATAATATCAATAATAATCTGTGGGTTATCTTTACAGTGGGATGAACACCCCTAATAACTAGCGATTAGACAATCTGTTAAGATCGATTAATATTTGGTTGGGTTTTGTCGTCTCAGACAATCTGAGTGAGTGAGTGTGCATGCTTTTACGAAACTTTTAGCAATATTCAAGCAATATCACGGCGGGGGACACCCGAAATGGGCTTGACACGTTGTACCCATGTCGGGAATCGAACCCGGGTATTTGACGAGCGAACCTTTTAACCACTAGACGACCCCACCGCCCCTCAAACAATCTGTTAAGATCTATTCTTCTCCGGTTGTGTTTTGGCGTCTAAGACAGTCTGTTAAGATCGATTATTCTTTGGTTGGGTTGTTTCGTCTCAGACAGTCTGTTGAGATCTATTGTTCTCAGGTTGGTTTGTGGCGTCTTAAACAATCTGTTTAGATATATTTTCACGGGTTGGGTTGTGGCGCCTTAGACAATCTGTTAAGATCTATTGTTCTCAGGTTGGGTTGTAGCGTCTTAGACAATTTGTTAAGATCTTTTGTTCTCGGGTTGGGTTGAGGCGTCTTAGACAATTTGTTAAGATCTATTGTTCTCAGGTTTGGTTGTAGCGTCTTAGACAATCTGTTAAGATCTATTGTACTCGGGGTGGGTTGTGGCGTCTAAGACAATCTGTTAAGATCTATTGTTCTCGGGTTGGGTTTCGGCGTCTTAGACAATCTGTTAAGATCTATTGTACTCGGGGTGGGTTGTGGCGTCTAAGACAATCTGTTAAGATCTATTGTACTCGGGGTGGGTTGTGGCGTCTAAGACAATCTGTTAAGATCTATTGTTCTCAGGTTGGGTTGTGGCGTCTTAGACAGTTTGTTAAGATCCATTGTTCTCGGGTTGAGTTGTGGCGTCTTAGACAATCTTTTAAGATCTTTTGTTCTCAGGTTGGGTTGTAGCGTCTTAGACAATCTGTTAAGATCTATTGTTCTCAGGTTGGGTTGTAGAGTCTTAGACAGTTTGTTAAGATCTTTTGTTCTCGGGTTGGGTTGTAGCGTCTTAGACAACCTGTTAAGATCTATTGTTCTCAGGTTGGGTTGTAGCGTCTTAGACAGTTAGTTAAGGTCTATTGTTCCCAGGTTGGGTTGTGGCGTCTTAGACAATCGTCCCAGTTAGGGTCTTGCAGGTTGTGTAGGACAGATAAACATGTCCCTGATGTTATCAGTTGGGTGATGCCACAATGAACAGTATATCAGTTATATCACTGCGTGTCAGCTTAATGTGGGAGGAGAGGGATGCAGATCTTTCCACTTTGCTGAAACAACAACCACGAGTATGATGCTGACAATCCTGGAATCATAATCAGGCGAATCTGAGATTCGAACCCTAGATCATCAGTTTAAGAGACGACGCTCTGCACAGCGAATTGCGGCGATCCGCGACTCTAATGAAATGAGACTGGCATGCCAGTCTTAGCAAGGTAAACAAAGGATTGCTGTCGCCAGCATGGAGGCACTCATCAGTATATTCATTTTCATTATGTCTTTGACTTGCTCACGGATTGAACACATTAAAACCATAGGCATGACAAATACGACACCTAGGCCATACAACCATGCCGTCATGCAGCTCATGCACTTGCTCAACCTGGAAAGTGGTGTAGACGTTTGGTGTGATCTTAGACTGAGTAACGATAGTAGATTTAGGGCACTGCATTTGTAGACGGCACTATGGTGAGTGTGTGAATATCAAGCATCTCGTAAAAAAAGAGTGAGTATCAAACATCTCGTACACTGAGTGAGTATCAAGCATATTGTACACAGAGGGAGTATTAAACATGTACACAGAGTGAGTATCAAACATCTCGTACACAGATGGAATATCAAGCATCTCGTACACTGAGTGAGTATCAAACATCTCGCCCACAGAGTGAGAATTAAACATCTCGTACACAGAGTGACTGTACAAGCATTTCGTACATAGGGGGAATATCAAACATTTCGTACACAGAGGGAATACGAAACATCTCGTACACAGAGTGACTGTCAAGCATTTCGTACATAGAGAGAATATCAAACATTTCGTACACAGAGGGAATATCAAACATCTCGTACACAGAGGGAATATCAAACATCTCGTACATAGAGGGAATATCAAGCATCTCGTATATTGAAAGAATATCAAACATCTCGTACACAGAGGGAATATCAAGCATCTTGTACACAAGCATCTCGTACACAGAGGGAATATCAAGCATCTCGTACATAGAGGGAATATCAAGCATCTCGTACACAGAGGGAATATCAAGCATCTCGTACATAGAGGGAATATCAAGCATCTTGTACATAGAGGGAATATCAAGCATCTCGTACATAGAGGGAATATCAAGCATCTTGTACATGGAGGGAATATCAAGCATCTCGTACATAGAGGGAATATCAAGCATCTTGTACATAGAGGGAATATCAAGCATCTCGTACATAGAGGGAATATCAAGCATCTTGTACATGGAGGGAATATCAAGCATCTCGTACATAGAGGGAATATCAAGCATCTTGTACATGGAGGGAATATCAAGCATCTCGTACATAGAGGGAATATCAAGCATCAAGGCATGACAAATACGACACCTAGGCCATACAACCATGCCGTCATGCAGCTCATGCACTTGCTCAACCTGCAAAGTGGTGTAGACGTTTGGTGTGATCTTAGACTGAGTAACGATAGTAGATTTAGGGCACTGCATTTGTAGGCGGCACTATGGTGAGTGTGTGAGTATCAAGAATCTCGTAAAAAAGAGTGAGTATCAAACATCTCGTACACTGAGTGAGTATCAAACATCTTGTACACAGAGGGAGTATTAAACATGTACACAGAGTGAGTATCAAACATCTCGTACACAGATGGAATATCAAACATCTCGTACACTGAGTGAGTATCAAACATCTCGCCCACAGAGTGAGAATTAAACATCTCGTACACAGAGTGACTGTACAAGCATTTCGTACATAGAGGGAATATCAAACATTTCGTACACAGAGGGAATATGAAACATCTCGTACACAGAGTGACTGTCAAGCATTTCGTACACAGAGGGAATATCAAACATCTCGTACACAGAGGGAATATCAAACATCTCGTACACAGAGGGAATATCAAACATCTCGTACATAGAGGGAATATCAAGCATCTCGTATATTGAAAGAATATCAAACATCTCGTACACAGAGGGAATATCAAGCATCTTGTACACAAGCATCTCGTACATAGAGGGAATATCAAGCATCTCGTACATAGAGGGAATATCAAGCATCTCGTACACAGAGGGAATATCAAGCATCTCGTACATAGAGGGAATATCAAGCAACTTGTACATAGAGGGAATATCAAGCATCTCGTACATAGAGGGAATATCAAGCATCTTGTACATGGAGGGAATATCAAGCATCTTGTACATGGAGGGAATATCAAGCATCTCGTACATAGAGGGAATATCAAACATCTTGTACACAAGCATCTCGTACACAGAGGGAATATCAAGCATCTCGTACATAGAGGGAATATCAAGCATCTCGTACACAGAGGGAATATCAAGCATCTCGTACATAGAGGGAATATCAAGCATCTTGTACATAGAGGGAATATCAAGCATCTCGTACATAGAGGGAATATCAAGCATCTTGTACATGGAGGGAATATCAAGCATCTCGTACATAGAGGGAATATCAAGCATCTTGTACATAGAGGGAATATCAAGCATCTCGTACATAGAGGGAATATCAAGCATCTTGTACACTGAGTGAGTATCAAACATCTCGTACATAGAGGGAATATCAAGCATCTCGTACATAGAGGGAATATGAAACATCTCGTACACAGAGTGACTGTCAAGCATTTCGTACATAGAGGGAATATCAAACATTTCGTACACAGAGGGAATATCAAACATCTTGTACACAGAGGGAATATCAAACATCTCGTACATAGAGGGAATATCAAGCATCTCGTATATTGAAAGAATATCAAACATCTCGTACACAGAGGGAATATCAAGCATCTTGTACACAAGCATCTCGTACATAGAGGGAATATCAAGCATCTCGTACATAGAGGGAATATCAAGCATCTCGTACACAGAGGGAATATCAAGCATCTCGTACATAGAGGGAATATCAAGCATCTTGTACATAGAGGGAATATCAAGCATCTCGTACATAGAGGGAATATCAAGCATCTTGTACATGGAGGGAATATCAAGCATCTTGTACATAGAGGGAATATCAAGCATCTCGTACATAGAGGGAATATCAAGCATCTCGTACACAGAGGGAATATCAAACATCTCGTACATAGAGGGAATATCAAGCATCTCGTATATTGAAAGAATATCAAACATCTCGTACACAGAGGGAATATCAAGCATCTCGTACATAGAGGGAATATCAAGCATCTCGTACACAGAGGGAATATCAAACATCTCGTACATAGAGGGAATATCAAGCATCTCGTATATTGAAAGAATATCAAACATCTCGTACACAGAGGGAATATCAAGCATCTCGTACATAGCGGGAATATCAAGCATCTCGTACACAGAGGGAATATCAAGCATCTCGTACATAGAGGGAATATCAAGCATCTTGTACATAGAGGGAATATCAAGCATCTCGTACATAGAGGGAATATCAAGCATCTTGTACATGGAGGGAATATCAAGCATCTTGTACATGGAGGGAATATCAAGCATCTCGTACATAGAGGGAATATCAAACATCTTGTACACAAGCATCTCGTACACAGAGGGAATATCAAGCATCTCGTACATAGAGGGAATATCAAGCATCTCGTACACAGAGGGAATATCAAGCATCTCGTACATAGAGGGAATATCAAGCATCTTGTACATAGAGGGAATATCAAGCATCTCGTACATAGAGGGAATATCAAGCATCTTGTACATGGAGGGAATATCAAGCATCTCGTACACAGAGGGAATATCAAGCATCTCGTACATAGAGGGAATATCAAGCATCTTGTACATAGAGGGAATATCAAGCATCTCGTACATAGAGGGAATATCAAGCATCTTGTACATGGAGGGAATATCAAGCATCTTGTACATGGAGGGAATATCAAGCATCTCGTACATAGAGGGAATATCAAACATCTTGTACACAAGCATCTCGTACACAGAGGGAATATCAAGCATCTCGTACATAGAGGGAATATCAAGCATCTCGTACACAGAGGGAATATCAAACATCTCGTACATAGAGGGAATATCAAGCATCTCGTATATTGAAAGAATATCAAACATCTCGTACACAGAGGGAATATCAAGCATCTCGTACATAGAGGGAATATCAAGCATCTCGTACACAGAGGGAATATCAAGCATCTCGTACATAGAGGGAATATCAAGCATCTTGTACATAGAGGGAATATCAAGCATCTCGTACATAGAGGGAATATCAAGCATCTTGTACATGGAGGGAATATCAAGCATCTTGTACATGGAGGGAATATCAAGCATCTCGTACATAGAGGGAATATCAAACATCTTGTACACAAGCATCTCGTACACAGAGGGAATATCAAGCATCTCGTACATAGAGGGAATATCAAGCATCTCGTACACAGAGGGAATATCAAGCATCTCGTACATAGAGGGAATATCAAGCATCTTGTACATAGAGGGAATATCAAGCATCTCGTACATAGAGGGAATATCAAGCATCTTGTACATGGAGGGAATATCAAGCATCTCGTACATAGAGGGAATATCAAGCATCTTGTACATAGAGGGAATATCAAGCATCTCGTACATAGAGGGAATATCAAGCATCTCGTACATAGAGGGAATATCAAGCATCTTGTACATGGAGGGAATATCAAGCATCTCGTACATAGAGGGAATATCAAACATCTCGTACACAGAGGGAATATCAAGCATCTCGTACATAGAGGGAATATCAAGCATCTTGTACATAGAGGGAATATCAAGCATCTCGTACATAGAGGGAATATCAAGCATCTTGTACATGGAGGGAATATCAAGCATCTCGTACATAGAGGGAATATCAAGCATCAAGGCATGACAAATACGACACCTAGGCCATACAACCATGCCGTCATGCAGCTCATGCACTTGCTCAACCTGCAAAGTGGTGTAGACTTTTGGTGTGATCTTAGACTGAGTAACGATAGTAGATTTAGGGCACTGCATTTGTAGGCGGCACTATGGTGAGTGTGTGAGTATCAAGAATCTCGTAAAAAAGAGTGAGTATCAAACATCTCGTACACTGAGTGAGTATCAAACATCTTGTACACAGAGGGAGTATTAAACATGTACACAGAGTGAGTATCAAACATCTCGTACACAGATGGAATATCAAGCATCTCGTACACTGAGTGAGTATCAAACATCTCGTACATAGAGGGAATATCAAGCATCTCGTACATAGAGGGAATATCAAGCATCTTGTACATAGAGGGAATATAAAGCATCTCGTACATAGAGGGAATATCAAGCATCTCATACATAGAGGGAATATCAAGCATATCGTACACAGAAAGAATATCAAGCATCTCGTACACAGAGGGAATATCAAGCATCTCGTGCATTAAGGGAATATTAAGCATCTCGTACATTAAGGGAATATCAAATGTCTCGTACATTAAGGGAATTTCAATCATCTCGTACACAGAGGAGTGACTATCAAACATCTCGTACACTGAGTGAGTATCAAGCATCTCGTACATAGATGAAATATCAAGCATCTCATACATAGAGGGAATATAAAGCATCTCGTACATAGAGGGAATATCAAGCATCTCGTACATAGAAGGAATATCAAGCATCTTGTACATAGAGGGAATATCAAGCATCTCGTACATAGAGGGAATATCAAGCATCTCATGCATAGAGGGAATATCAAGTATATCGTACACAGAAAGAATATCAAGCATCTCGTACACAGAGGGAATATCAAGCATCTCGTGCATTAAGGGAATATCAAGCATCTCGTCCATAGAGGGAATATCAAGCATCTCGTACACAGAAAGAATATCAAACATCTCGTACATTAAGTGAATATCAAGTATCTCGTACATTAAGGGAATATCAAATATCTTGTACACAGAGGAGTGAGTATCAAACATCTCGTACACACAGTGACATCAAATATCTCCTTCACAGCGTGAGTATCAAGAATTTCGCACACACAGAGTGAGTATCAAACATCTCGTACACACAGCGAGTATCAAATATATCCTTCACAGCGTGAGTTTCAAGAATTTCGCACACACAGAGTGAGTATCAAACATCTCGTACACACAGCGAGTATCAAATATATCCTTCACAGCGTGAGTTTCAAGAATTTCGCACACACAGAGTGAGTATCAAACATCTCGTACACACAGTGAGTTTCAAGAATCCCTCGTACACAGAGAGAGTATCAACCATCTCGTATACATAGTGAGTATCAAGCATCTTGCACACAGAGTGATTGTCAAGCGTCTCGTACACAGAGAAAGTATCAAACATCTCGTACACAGAATGGTTGTCAAGCATCTCGTACA